CGCATTCCCGACCTGACCGAAGGGGAAAAAGTGCAATCGTACCTCGCAGGGCTGAAGACCGAAGTCAAACGACAGGTGGCAGCGTCAAACTACGCGAGCTACAGTGACGTCGTTTCGGCCGCGGAGCGCTTCGACATGGTCAACGCCGGAACACGACGGACGCACGTCGGCAGTACGCGACAGGGCGACCGCTCGGCTCACACCACATTCGCCGACCTGATGGAGATCGACAGATTCGACGGGCGGCCACGTCCGAAAAACACCAACGTCACGTGTGATTTTTGCGGGGTGCCGGGCCACCGAATCTTCGACTGCAACAAAATGAAGGCCGCACGCGCAGAGTATCGGGCACGCAACAGTGGCGGAAATCTTCCGGCCAATCAGAAGACAAAAAATGGGAGTCGCCAGTGATCGCGGATCTAGCTGGCGAAAATAAAAAGATCCGGAAACGGCCGCGGGATTCCGAAAAAATCAACTTCGACGAAGCTGATTCGACGCGAGCAGGAGGAAATGATGGGGGAAAATCTCCACCCCACGACCAGTCTTCGCCAGGGAAAATCGCTGAGGAAAAATCAGACTATTTCCGTGGGAGACCAGGTGCTTCTCGACACCCGCAACCTGGACATCAGCCACCTCCCATCTAAACTTCGACCTCGCTTCTGCGGGCCTTTCCTCGTTGAAGCACAGGTCACCCCTGTTACCTTCCGCTTACGCCTACCAGCTACCTGGAAGATTCACAACGCCTTCCATGTCCAACTGCTGAAGCCCTATCGGGATCCTAATACGATCTTCGTCGGATGCCAACCGCCGCCGCCGCCGCCCGTCCTCGTCCAAAATGAACCCGAGTACGAGGTCGAGTCCGTGCTTGCACACCGCCGTCGTCGGAATGGCACCGTGGAGCTTCTTATTCGTTGGAAGGGTTATGATCCTTCTGAGGACAGCTGGGTCTCTGAGACCGACATGAGTAACGCCTGTCGTCCTCTGCATGACTACCTTGTCAAGCAGGGTGTTACTTCTACCACCCAGCTTTGAGGGGGGGGAGTGTGAGAGTACGACCCCGTTACACCACTTGGCCTTTTCCATATTTCATCTTCATTTCATTCCTCTTTTTATCTCATCTCCTTTGGCCTCATATTCCCCATTTTCCATTATCCTTTTGTTCCTTCCCTTATTATAATTATATCACCGACCAGGCATGGAATGTTCTAGACACGCTATCTAGCGTAATCCTGTCGTAATCTCTTAAAGCCAATAGCCTCGCGTGGCTATACGCAGGGTGATTCTATTTTCTAGAAGGGTCTATTCCTTTAGATAGGATAAACCTGGTTACTTGATGTACTCTGGAAGTATAAAAGCGCCTTGTACTGATCGATAGTGCAACCTTTCCTCGACACATTCGATCCTGTGACAATAACTCCTCGCGCAATATTGTGGTATCTGGTGATATTTCGAAAATTCAATCCATTATCCAGAGACAGGAACGACCGAAGAACATGCGCGTGATTACAAGTATTCGCTTATGGCCTAAACACTACTGGTGCGGAATCTCTCACCTGAAGAGTAGTTGGGAGTTCGGTGCTTCAAACCTTCACTCGCTCCAGGTATTCACTTGTGAAAGTTATAATAAACACAAGATTCAGTGACACAGAGCAAGCTACATCAATGTAACAGCAATGCAGGGAAAAATCCGGCAGCTACATCAACAGGTACAGAACCCTTCAAGATCAGCTCAGCAAGTGCGGAGGAAATCTCAGCAATGAGCTCTTCGTCACTATTCTTCTGGCTGGACTTGGACCCGAATGGAGGTAGTGCAAGTCCCTTCTTCGTTCCCAAGGGAACATCGCATAAACTTCTCTTTGCGCTACTCTGATGGTAGAGCAGCAGGAGTTGGACATGTACAACGCAAAAGGAGGCAAAGCCAAGAGTGCATTAAGCTTCTATACAGGTGGATCAAGTCAAGGGGAGCAGACAAGAGGTGGATCAAATCAATGGGAGCAGACAAGAAAAGGAGGAAAGGGCTTCTGCAAGTTCTGCAAACTAGCAGGTCATTATATTGAAGAGTGTCAGAAACTAAAGAACAGGAATCGGGAGAAGTCGGGTGAAGCCGTCCCTGTCACGACTATCACGCCACCTTTAGCTTCTTCAACTCAACCTGCAAAAGGCAAGGCAATCATTAATTGAATGATTGGACCACACTGGTCTAGCGGTATACGCTACTGTAGCTGACAAGACAATGACAGCGACTGTGAAATGGAAGAAGGAGCAGCCAATCCACCTCCACGTCTTCGTCCTCGTTCAAAAAATCTTGAACCACCAATCGTTAATGAAGAAGAACGAGAGCAGCCGAGCGCGTTTCTTCAACGGTTGAACGTGCAGCCGTACGCCTACATTGCCAAGCGTACGTATCCCGAACACGTTAATACTTGGTTTCTTGACAGCTATTGCAGTCACCACATGGCGTCTTCAAGTTGCTATCTCCTCAACTTGCGAGACCTGCCAAATGGAGAAAAATACAACATCACAGTGGCCAACAATCAAGTTATTGAAGCCACCAGAATTGGAGATGTGATACTAGAGTCCGATGACATCGAAGTTTCACTCACCTTAATAAGGTTCTCATCACGACGGGACTCGGCTTCAACCTATTATCACAAGCGCAGCTAATGGAAAGTGGCATCTGTTTCGTCAGCACCGCCAACACGATGCTCACGGAGTTGTACCTGGGCGACAAGAAGGAAGACAAAAGTAATTTAACAGGGAGAATTAACAGAACATTGCAAGAGAAGATGCGCAAGCTGCTGCAACAGTCCAGCTTGACAACAGACTTTTGGCCGTTTGCGATGGCGCAAGCTGTCTGCCGACACAACTGCTTGTCTTCAACAACTCTCCCTTAGTTCAGCTCGCCACACGTCATGTGGACAAAACACGCTGCCGACACTCGACTATTATGAGTTTTGGGCTGCATGGCCCAATACAGACCTCCGAGCGCAACTGTGGGCAGGTTTACTGAACGGGCTTGATGGGGAATACATCTTGGTATACCCAAGGATCCATATTCTTGGATAATCATGGATTACAAAGCCCGAAAGGTTTTGTATGCCCGAGACTGCATCTTCTACGAGAAACTTTTTCTCGATGAGTTCGAACGCGATAAGGAACACCAGCATCGGGATACTGATCGCTACAGTGCCGAACGGAGTTTCGCCACTCCTCAAGACAAAGCAGATGCAGCCAAAGAATATTATCCGCCCGATAGCACAGCAGCCGTACCTTCTACAGTTCTGCAGCCATCCTCATCAGCAGCCGAACCAGTTGCAGCAACAAAATACATTCGAGCAAGTGGGTCTTTCACATAAAGACAAATGCAGCACGCGCCAGACAGGTTCAAGGGGAGACAGGTCGTTCGAGGTTTCGAACAAACCCACGGCATCAATTACGACCAGACTTTCGCTCCGGTCAGCCGTCATACCTCAGTTCGAATTCTTCTTGCCATTGCTACCAGCCGTCACCTTCCACTTCGCCAACTGGACATAAAAAATGCGTTTTTATATGCAAACTTCGGTGCAGATATTTTCTTCGAGCTCCCTCACACTTATGGCGACAGACTCCACATCAAACAGGCTCCTCGCCTGTGGCAGCAAGATCTTCACAAAGTGTTGACTTCACTTGACTTCTGCAGCTGCCCCACGATCCTGGAATTACGTTCTCTTAGTTGCCTTCGTGGACGACTTACTATACACCGGCTCGTGCAACAGTCTTCTGGTGCGCATGGAGGAAAGAATCCAAAAGATTCTTGAAGTGACTATTTCTCCAAACGTCACCCAATTTCTTGGGTTAAACGTCGACTGCGGCCCCGATGCCATCCATCTTTCTACACGCAAGTACGCAGAAACACTTGCGAAAAAGTTTGCCATCGCTCCCATCGGCCTCACCACTCCATTTCGTCACATTTTGGCCGATCACACACCTGATACTACCCCACTTACCGGCTCCAAGCATCAGCTTTACCAGCAGCAGCTTGGGTGTCTTCTATTTGCAGCTGTTACATGCCGCCCAAATATTGCCTACATCACGAGCCAGCTCGCACAGTACCTGCGCCGAACTGGAGGGGAGAATATGGCCGATCTTCATCAAGCCCTCCAATATTTCATTTCTACTCCTACAATCGGCATCAGCTACACGACAAACACTGCAGCAAATTGAGTGGATATGTTGATGCGGATCACGTTGCTGACCCCGACAACAGGCGTTCATGTACAAGGTTCATCTTCAAACTTGAATCGGGTGGTATCATTCTTGGAACTCAACGACACAGGAAGTCATCGCACTTTCGTCAGCCGAAGCAGAGTTTGTCGCATCAAGCTCTGCATTTCGTGAAGGACTCTATCTTCAAGGGTTACTTCAAGAGGCAAAAATCGCAACGACACGTAACTCCAAGTTACGCTGTGACAACCAGAGTGCAATCAAGATTGCAAACAAGACCGGCTTCGTCAACAGGACAAAACACATCGCCCTCTGTTACTTCTTTGTCAAGGATGAAATTGACAAAGTGAAGATCATCCTGAAATACTGCCCTAAAGAAGAAATATCAGCTGATTTTCTGACAAAGAAACTCCCACGCTGCAAGTTTCAATACTGCTCCAACCTGGTTGGAATCTGCAAACGCGGCGACACTTACCCAGAGAGATACACTTAGGAATGAAGGGGGGTGTTGAAGTATACTCGACAGAGTTTACTCATGCGTTCCTGATGTAACACTTAGACTGTACTAACAGTGCGATACCTCATATGGAAGGATGCACGTGATTACGTCAGCAGTAGCGAGTCAACGCACGAATAGTAGGTTCATTCGTATAGTCACTCGAAGGGTCACGCCACTCTCAGTCACACGAACAATCACTAGTCATGTCACGCGACGCAGCATAAGAGATAGGTTGCCCTGTGGAAATTCCCTTACATAGTTGGGGTGAAACCCCAACCAAGTGTAGGTGGCTAAATTTTAGGGTAAAATATAAGAAGTGAACCTAAGCTGAACACATCGTGTACCTTACTCAAGAGTAGGCGGATTCATAAGCCGAGGCCCGGCATAGCGGGTGAAAGATAACTTAATAATAGTAGAGAAAAAGACTAGCCTACTCCAACATTGCAGGTGTGGAGCAGGTGCTCACCTCCAGCCACACATGCGTTGGTGTTGCTGCTATCAAGCATGTAGTTGGGATCGCACACACACTCCCCTTCTCCAATGAAAGCATTTACCGAGCAGTAGCCATGCCCCCCACACACAGGGCCAGTAGCTCCGATCTCCACCCCACAGAATGCAGCACAAACAGCAGCAGTCCTCTGGGTGGAAGCACGGCCGCAGACGCTTGCAGAGGCAGCAAGGCAGTTTGCATCGGTGGTCCACATGACGGCTGAGCAGTTTTTGAACTTGACCTCCCCGTGGGTGAAGAAATTGGTATCCACTTGGTACTGCTCGAGGGTTGAAGAGGCTGAGCTGGGCAGATGGCCAGAAAATTGGTTCCAGGAAAGGAATCTGGCAGAGGGAGATGGACGGCAGGAGGGACAACGGGCAGGAGGGGGCACGGAGGTTGGAGACATGTGTTGCATTGGCAATGAGCAAGTCTAGCAAATAGTGGATAAAGAGAGCCGAAGTATATGTTGGAACAGCTCAGTCACTAACCACCGAGCTAAAAGGGTGTGTTACGTAGCGGGTGCGTGCGCCCACAACCCCCAAGGCCATCTTGCCTGAAGCCCTTCCCCAGGACCAGTAGGCCGATCCCAGTGCTCCTTCCAACAGTATACATACAGTATTGAGACACTAGAAAGTGAGGTGCGCTTTTGATGCAAGGTGGCACACACAGCAGAGTAGCACCCACAGCCGGGTGGTATCCAGCAGAGTGATATGCACAGCAGCGTGATACGCACAGCATAGCGACATGCACAGCAGAGTGATATGCACAGCATTCTGAGGTTCCTCATGGTTCGTGTGATGGGCTCTATGGTTCCCCAGAACTGGTTGTTTGTCAGAAAACTGAGTAGCACGTGGGTGGTGCACGCACATGCATGGGGCATGCACATGCATGGGGAAGCAATGCATCCAGAGCAAAAATAGGTGGATTTTACAGTTCTGGCACCTGGAGGAAGCGATTGTGCAAAAGTAGTGCCAGCTAGAAACCTGGCACCAGTAAAGGGCAAGGCGGCGAAGCAACTTCAAGATTCAAGAAACAAATGCCCAAACCAACTTCTGAAAACAACTTATGTGATTAGCAGCTTCTGAAGAGCAATCACGCATCGAGCTTAGCAATGCATCTATAATATATACAGGTACTGCAGCTTGGAAAGGTCGCTGAGGGTGCTTGGGACTGTCCCGTAGAACTGATTGCCACTGAGGTCCCTGCACACACATGCTTCAATGAAGGTGAGTTCTTGATGGCCCATTCGGATGCGGAATGCCAGGTGACATGCAGACCTGCGCCACCTGCACCACCTGCATCACCTGTTGCAGAGACATCTGTTCTGCATCTGCCAAAGCGACTTATGCACCAAATCAAGGGCATGCATTCGGCAATGGATGTACAAGAGCATTAGGTTCGTTAGCTTTCCAGCGGCGGTGGGTATGGATCCTGACATTGGGTTGTACGACAGCGACCTGCTGAGATGGCAGAGAGAGAGAAGAATGCACTGGCGCTGAGATTATGAACAAAATGGATTATGCGGGGTGGACATACAGGGGGGGCACGAGGTCGAAAGAGATGGGGACGTTGGCTCATAAGCAGCAGGCGGCAGCCTTGCCATGAACGAAACGCCGTCTATCCACTAGCATGCTAGTGGATGTCGTCCTCTGCTCCTTAGGTGGTTGTTCGCGTTAACACTTGAAAATGTTCAACAAGCGCTCAGACTGTCATGCACATTTGGTGGGGAAATGTACGCACATGGACATTGTACACGGCCCATGCTGACACCTTGGGCGGATTGTGCAAGGCTAACATGGGTCTAATCAGACAGGCCCCCATGCCCTTCACCCACTTCCCCCAGCCAACTGCGCCCTCTGGGGCCCCCCACCTACTCCCCATTCTTGCCCCCCAACCCCTTGAAAATCCATCCCCCACCCCCCCCACCCCTCGAACCCATGCACCCCACCCTCCTACAACGTCTCTCTATGCCATCGACCACTACCTAACCCCCACCCACCCCCTCCATCGCCCCCAACTCCCTACAAGGTCCCAGATGCATAATAATAATAAACAAAAAACAAAAAAAAGGTTCAGGGTTCTGTCGATTTTGTTGCAGTGACCTACTAAATGATGTGATACCATCATCGTAAATTTCAGTATACTGCTGTAAGGCATTCTTCTCAGGCCCAGTGTTCTGGCTTTCATTCCGATCCTTTTTCTTCTTCTCATCATATTACTGTTCCTATGCGTGCCTCTGCTCCCAGGCAGCAACCTTTGTGTCGAATCTTGAGCACGACACCAAGAGGCTTCAATGCACATCAAATCACCATCCTCACGACCCTCTGTCCTGGTCGACCCATCATCCAGTGGAGCAGTGTAAGCTCAAACTTCACCAGCTCACTCAAGCTGAATTTCAGGCAAGCGATTGACACGTTGAGTCTAGCAAGGGAATGCGGCCGAGACACACTGGAAGGGCACGCGTGCAATACAATACAATAAGCACACTAATGGATTACAGGTAATCTAGCTGTAGGAGATCACCCAGTGCAGCAGGTATGCTTCCCGACAGCTGGTTGCTGGAGGCCATTCTGAGAAGAGATCGTGGGGGGGGGGAACAGTGATCAAGGGCCATGGGGAGCTCAAGTACACAAGAACTTATGCGGAGTGGTGTAAGCAGAGGGGTGCAGAATATCATGTGAGGAGAAAGAGAGAACATGAATGGAAACAACGTGCATGTGGACGGAGCCGCCGCCCGCCCGCATCACTTACATGGCTCTAAGCTTCGGCAGCGATGCCAGTGCTGTTGGAATAGAACCGCTTAGAAGGTTATCCATTAGGATACTAGGGGTGGGAACCAAGTAGACCATAGACCATGCACCATGCACCTTCAAATTACTGTGCAGTAAGGGGAGGTGAAAAAAGAGCTATCAATTCTCTTGTTTAACATCCAGAGCAACAATGGCTATTGCAGGGCTCCAAACGTGAAGATTGCAACCTGCACACCACAACATGGGCACATGAGTTGCTTGATTGATTCAAGTAGCTTTGAATCTTTCAGCATTCTCTCCAGAGAGCACAGAAGTCACATGATGCAGCGCATGTGAGGAGCTGCACTAGCTGTGTGGGCAATGAACTCACGAAGAGAGGTGGCAAGTCTGAAAGACTAGCATTCGAGGGAAAGCATTGTATATAACAGGAGGCAGGAGGTCTATAGTACAAGCAAGGAGCACAGGAATGGTTGGAAGGGAATCTTCTCTCTTTGGATATGATTGTGGCCAATGGGAAAGATTGCTTGGAGGAGAAGCAACCCCAAAGTGTGGTGGTTGCTGATTGGTTGAGTCTTGGGACCACTTGGTTGGAAAATGCCAAATCTAATCTTGACCAACCCCAATTGTGGTTGGTGAACCCAACCAACAACCCCCCAATAGGCGAAATGACTACACTCCCTATTCTAGCCTATGTATGTTGTTCATATTATATTACAACAAAGTCGCCTCACACTGCAGAAAGGGCAAACCCCGATACTCATGCACTCGCAATAACAACCACGACTGTTAGACCCGAGGCAGGGATGGGGTGAGAGAATCTCACAGGTTTGTCAGAGAATCGAGGGCTGAAAATGAGTCTGGAATTAACCCTGTCAGCTGATTTCCTGCAAGCGCGCTGGAGCAAGAAAGCCCCCCCCATGCACATGCAAGGTGGACGGATGACAGGGTGGAGACGGACGGAGGGATGGGAGGGCATGAAACAAGTCCCATGTCACACCGACTGCAGGAGTGAGGCATGGGAGTGAGCATGTGGCCAGTGTGTGCCATGCGAAGCAGCTTCAGGTGAGACCCAGTGGCACATTTGTGACCTGCGAGAGAGAGGCACACAAGGCTTGGCATGTTTCAGTGGCCTCACAGGTGTGTGAGGCCACGCAGGTGACCAAGGGAGTCGGGGATGGTGCCACTCAGCTGGTTGAAACTCAAAACCCGGCGCTTGACAGCAAGGAAATGCAGGTACACAGCGCAACACATCCATACAATATTCGGTGTTCGCACATTATTCGATATTCGGCCAAATACCCAAATACAAAACGAATTCAAATTGGCTGTTCATTTGCAGGTATTTCGTGATCAAATATTCGTCTTGGATGAATATTCGCACCCTGAATATTCGGGTTATTCGTAGACTATTCGTATCCGACATGACATCATATCTCGCCCTGTTGTCTTGTAGCGGCAAGGGGAAACGTCAGATACTGAAGAAATCAGTCGTCGGGGATTAAGGTGCGGCTACAGTACACAGCTCAACGAGCTCCAATGACCTAAATTAACACAACTACAGGGAGATTAGCCGGGAGAAGCTTGTTAGGATTAAGGACAGAGTCTAGGTGAACTTAGGAGCTAGAATTACTCAAAATATAAATCCGAAATTCTGGACAGAAAAGTCGTCTTCACAAGAAACGACGTCGACGAAAACCTAGCCGTTGGAATGTCGCGAAACTTGGATATGTTGTAGCTCTTTATCTCAGCTACCGTTCCCAATTTGAATCATGTTGATTGATGAAGTATTCGCGACGCTATGGCTTTCGACGCATTAGGGGGTAAGCTGTAGGAGGAGAACTTAACTCAATCTCAAGAGTTCAATCAAAGTTCAAGAATCTCACAAGGAATTTAGAAGGAGCAAGAGAAAGGTTGGGATAGAAGAGAGGGATGAGAGGGAAGGTCCCAAGAGAGTCCCCAACCAAGGAAACCCCATAAGCACAAAGATTCCCTCCCTATAGGAACCCCAACTTTGACATAGCAATTGTAACGCAAGCTCATGAACTTTGAATCTTCATAGCTTTCGCGTTCTTGCTCCGATTGAAGGGATTCTCGTTGCGTCGGAAAGATCTTCTCAAGATCTATCATCACAAAAAACCTGCTCAAACAAAATAACACAAAACACATTCCCAAACTCCAGAACACATCACACACAAATTCTTGCACACGTTCAAACCACACATGCAAGTTGAAAAAATATGGGATGGGAGGCAGACAGAATGTGATAGCATATGATGACATCACACAACAAAGCTCGAGGTTGTGAGAGAGATGTAGGTAAAGTAGGTGAGCGTTGAGTGTTAAGCTCGACTTTATACTCCTTGACACCGACCTGGGCTAGGCCTGGGCGAGCAGCAGAAATCAAGTAAACCGTAATTTGTAAGATCCAGTAAGCAGAATAGGTTTGTGTCAGAAAAGGCGTATAGCTTGAGTATTCGAAACACATTTGTATTTGTCTTGTATTCGCCAGTATTCGACTCGAATTCGCATTTGATTGCGAAGCAACTATTCGGGGAAATACAAATTCAGCTTGTATTCGCAACTATTCAAAAGAAAATATTTGTATTCTAATTCTAGCGGTTTTTACCGGCTAAGAGAAGCTAGACCATAGACAAGCTAAAAAAATAGACAAGCTAGACAATAGACAAGCTACATGGACTAGACAGGCAGGACAAGCTAGTTGAAAGCCAGGGCCTATCGTCATTGTCATTGGTCCCTGAACATTACATCAACATTGTCGTTGCAGAATGCCCACGCAATTGTCTGTGACGCTGGACCTTGTGGCGAACACATTGTGTACATTTGCTGAAGCAGTGACATCTCGCCCATCGATGGAGGAATGCTTCCGGAAAACAAGTTGCCGTCAAAATTTCTGAAGGTGCACCGGGCAGGGAAAGTGGTGTTACTGGGGAACCGTACAAGCACACAGCTGACATGCAAGTGCCGGTACACGGATGTTCGCAAGCTGACCTCGTGATGCATGCAAGTTGATGGCGAATTAGCATCATGCAAAGTCCAATAAGTGATACTGTGAGCTCATGTGAAGTGGCAGAACCCTGCCAAAAGCAGCTACTTCAATGCGAAGGAGCCTTTTCGTTCCACTGCTACCTCAACACGCCCCGCTCTTGTTGTTCGTATGGAGAGGCCTTGAGAGCGCCTCTTATGCAACGAGCCACTGGAATGTCAATGCCCCCCCCAACCCACCCCCCCTCCCTCCCCTCTCCCCCCCCCTCCTCTTCAAGCAAATGCCTAATCATTTCTCCACCATGATTTCGGTCTTGCGCTTGGAGTTTCAGTCCATTCTGACGAAACCAAATGTCATCCTGGGCTTTAAGTGTGCTCTGCCTTGTGCATGGGCTTGCCGCTTACCTGGAGAGCAAGAGGGGTACCTACCTGACTTCGACTTATGAGCCTACCTGACATTTAGTGCCGCCCCGCTTGAGAGAGGCGCTCATTGGTTGTACTCTATTCTGAAATTTCGAGAAAGCTCCTGCTCATTGTTGTGATGAAAGAAATCGCCAAGCTGTCAAACCTGCCCCCTGGCAAGTTTCCGGCACAATTAGCGAACTTTTAGCTGAAATGATAAAGTAACAACTAGATTCTGAAGACCTTTTCAGGTTTGTATTACTGTGCTCTCCTGATTACGCTTTCCCCCATCCACCAAAATCTTTCACACCCCTGCAAACCCAGCAACGTTTTGCACAAAACACATGTTTAAACAACCCTTCTCGCAGTGGAAAATTGAATGTGAGGGAAAGCAGCAAGCAGGACTGCATGTGATTCTCACAAGACAATGAGGTTAGTGAAATTGCCAAGCTCGCTAGGAAGAGAGCCGTTGAAGAAATTCTGCCGAAGATTCCTGAGGATGGGGTAGGGGCGAAGGGGAAACAATGGAGGAAGGGAAAGCGAGTAAATGATAGAGAACAAGCATCATTACCAGGCCACCCTATCCCCCCACTCACCCGCTTGGTCCACCTCCATCCTCCATCCACCCCCTCACCTCGGGCTCCTGGTCAAATTTTCCTAGTTTGCTGTAAAACTACCCTTATGTTGAATGACGGGAGCAATTAGAGTGAGAGCGAGTGAGTGACAGACAACAGGCCCGTGCTCTGTCCCCCAAGCATTATAGGTGCAGGTCTCTCCATTTAGATGTGTGATGCTCATGATCAATCAGTGGTATTCAATCAGCAGCTCAAAGGAGCGTTGAATGGGACACACCTGTAACCTTCATGGACACCACATCGAAGTTTTGCTTCTTGCATGGACTCCGTCAATACTTTCGTGGACTCCAGGCTTACTTCCATGGACACACGCGAATTTGAAAATATATATATATATATATATATATATACTGTACAGATGTTGACGAGCCAAAAAAAAAGGCGTAACCGTCGCAAATAGTCGCAAGCTACAGTAATTGCGTGCCGCCAGGTCCGCTAGCTGTCTCGCGTGTTTAAACAAACTCTAAAGCGATCCTGACAATTTATTTGAATTACTATCACGAAGCAGTATTAGTTGAAAGACGAGTGTAGCAGATCGAGTAGGCTAAATCTCGCTAGAAAAAGATTCACGTTGTAGAATAAAGATAGATATTATGGTTATACGGTTAATATAGTTCAGTAAAAATCATAGTAGTACCAAGATAACGGTTTGGAATTTATGCCCATCAAGAACTAGAATACCCTAGATTCTTGAATTGTTTCAATAAATATTCGGTTTGCATTTTAAATAAAGATGTAAAATCTCCGAATATCATTTTTTATATATATATAGCTGTATAAACGGAGGTTCTTAGGCCTCCATGCTATTATAAATAAAAATTTGTTCCATAAAGAAATAATAATAGGAAACAAGAACACCACAAATATTTTATATTCATAATTTTGGGAATATGTTTTTCAATTTTGAATAAGAAACATACTTCTGAAAAATATATTTCTCATGCTCTATTTTTTCGTTCACATAATTTCTCATAATCAAATAATATACTATGAAGGAGGAAATAACTGCTGATTGATGCTGTCTCAATTATGCTTTTTGTTGAGTAGTTCTAATTTGAACAATAAGTGTTTCTATCACGGGGATCCTAATACACTATGTTTTTTAAAGTTCCCTGCATATTTGAGTGTTGTTGCAAACTCTTCCCAGAAAAGCTCTGAAAAACTGTTTCCGAACTGGTTTCCGACACTGTAGGCCGAGATAACTTGCGACGGACAGATAGTCTGGAGTAATTCTATTTTTGTGCCCGTAATCCCTTGTAGATCGCTGTATAGTCCTTTTTTACTGCGAATGTGCGTGTGTCCATGGAAGTAAGGCGGGAGTCCACGAAAGTATTGACGGAGTCCATGGGAAAAGCAAAACTTCGATGTGGTGTCCATGAAAAGTTTCGTGGACAGTTCGTGGCAGTAATTTTCCCCAATAGGTTGCTCCGCAACCCAAAAAAACGAGAGTTGTAGTGCTGGAAACTGCTAGTGAAGCTGAGGGGAAAGGGATTGGATTGGACTGATGGAATTGGTGTGATTCGAGCAAATTTACGTGGGCTCAACTCCAGAAACCATGCGTGTTGTACCCCTGCCTTGCCTAGATTGCGAGGAAATCGCGCGCTTCGACAAAAATCAAGAATGTTTCAAAACGGTCGATCCTTTTTGCGTGCGATGTATGGCAAGCCCCTTGTTGGGCTGAGAGAAAGCCCTTAGGATCTTTCCAGAGACTAAGTCCCACTTGTACAAGATACTTGAGTAGTGCAGCGGAAGTTGAGTAGTTGAACCCTTGCACTAGTATGTGAGAGCAAGTGATTGATTAAAAGAAACAAGCATACAGCAATATATAGAAAATAGGAAAGTAAAGCAGTTGTAGAATACAATTGAAGGAACGGTTATCGAGTCGCACAGCGACTCGATGGTCGATTCGGTTACCACCCTTGCAGTTGAAGGAACGGTCAGTCGCAACCTCCGGTTGCGACCCTTCGAGTCTTTCGTCCTTTCGTGTTCTTTCGTCCAACCTCCTCGTGTAACCTCCGTTGACTCGCATACCCGATACGGCTTTACTCGAGTGTAGTGTTACACTTCAGAAACGCTTAAGTCCTTGAGGTATTTCCAACACTCCCCTTCGTTTCTGGAGTGCTGACATGTTCAGATTTGGTGACGCTTATCTGCCCGGTCAACAGCATGCAGTAATCGAACTTTGCCTTCGCCAGTTTCTTCGTCAGGTAGTCTGCGGCCATTTCTGTCGTGGGGCAGTAACTGAGTTGAAGTCTCCCCTTTGCGATGTCATCCTTGACGAAGAAATACCGCAGTGCGATGTGCTTGGTTCGATTGGCGAACCCATCTTTGTTCGCGATTTTGATTGCGGATTGGTTGTCGCAGAGTAACGAGAAGGCGGGCATGGTCGCTATTTTCGCTTCCTCGAGCAGCTCCCGCAGGTAAAGTCCTTCTTTTGTCGCGGTGCAGAGGGCAATATATTCCGCTTCAGCCGAAGATAGCGCAATTAATTCCTGCTTGCTCGATTGCCAGGAGATAGTCCCGATAGGTTCTAGTCGGTAGATGTAGCCCGTTCTGGAGCGTCGATTTTCCCTATCTCCCGCATGGTCGGCGTCGACATAGCCGAGTATTCGTACGGACGACAGTGTTACTTTGCTATAGGTAAGTCCGGTCATCGACGTAGAGACAAAGTAGAGTAGTGCCCGATTTAACTCTTCGAGATCCTCTTGCTCCGGCTGCTTCAGGTGTGTCGTCAGTTGGCTCGCGCTGTAGGACAAGTCTGGTCGGCATGTTACTGCTGCGAATAGTAGACAGCCGAGTTTATGTTGATATTCCTGGATTTGCTTCGCGGGGAGTTTTGCGGAGGTTCCGCCGTTGTCGTTCCCGTAGCGATAGGGAGTCGCGACTACGATCGGCGTTAGTCCGAATTTCTTCGCGACAACGCCTGCGTACTATCCGGCATGTAGGTAGAATGCTGAGTTGTCTTCGACGACGTTCAGGCCCAGGTACTGAGTCACGGTGTTAGACACCGTGAGTGTCAAGTCACTCCGCAGCTCCCCTTCGAACCAGGTGGCGATGTCGGTAGTGGAACCGATGTAGAGCAGGTTCCACTACCGACGATTAGTAGGACAAAACCCTCCCCCATCTGTAGTCGGTACATGCTTTGGTCGTTTGGCAGCTGTAGGAAGCCGATCTTGACGAGGCGGCCGTGAAGATGCTGCTGCCAAAGCCGCGGGGCTTGTTTGATTCCGTAGAGGGACTTTATCAGCTGGCACACTTTTGTGGGATCGTCGATGAATCCGTGGGGCTGCTCGACGAAGATCTCGGCGTCCACAGGTGCGTACAGGAAGGCGTTTGCGACGTCGATCTGGTGCAGTGGTAGCTTCTTCGTGGCCGCGACGACGAGTAGAATGCGCAAAGAGGTGTGACGGGAGACTGGGGCGTATGTCTCTGTGTAGTCGGTTCCGTATCGCTGATCGAATCCTCGTACAACCCAGCGAGCCTTGAATCGTTCGATGGAGCCGTCCGCATTAGTCTTGATGCGGTACACCCACTTTCCCGAGAGCACGTTTTTCCCGTTGGTTTTTGTTGCAGGTACCAGCTTCCACGTGTTTCGGTCTTGCAGGACCTTCAGTTCTTTTTCCATTGCTTCCTTCCATTTCGCCTTGTGTTCCCCCCCCAGAGCTTGCGACAGAGTCGTTGGCTCGCGCGGAGATGGCGGCGGCGGGCTCTGGACGGCGACCCATGGTCCAAGGATCTGCAGGCCCGTGGGTGTGTGTCGAGGGGAATTTTCATTCCCGGGATAGGCAGCTTCGTCACCATCTTCTGGGTCAGGTAAGAAATTTGGTCCGATGCGTTCTGAGACATTCGTGTCGACTGGTTGAGGTGTAGCGTAACCTTGGTCAGCGAAGTGGTAATAGGTGTCGAGGTTGTTACTATCGAGAGGATTGTCGTCGGGAGCGCGATGGCCGGGTGAGCGTTGGTACATGTCGGCGTTGGAGAAGAACGCGACGACCGTGGCGGGACTTCGGCAGACTTCTCGGGTGGTGGGCATAAGTTGATCTGCTTCGGTTGGCGGTCCTCGGATTGCTGGTGATGGTACACGGCTGGGTCCTGCTGCTGCTACTGCAGGTGATGTCGGGGAAGGGACGCTTGCTGGTACTTGTCTTTCTTGTCGGATGACTGCTAACGCTCGTGTTCTCTCTGCTGCAGGTATGGTGTTGGAGTACCAGAATCCATCAGGGGTAAAGTCGGGGTCAAGATCCGGCGGGTGCGTCAGGCGGCGAACGACACGATGCCATCACTGTCGGCAGTACCGCGGTCGGGGACGAAATCCAACACGAAGACACCCGACTTTAGGAGAGCGCGACCGATGAAGAGGCTGCCCTTCCCGTGGTGAAGACGAAATTCCTTGGCGTCCGAGTCGCATTCCAGGTGAATCCCTTTTTCCATTAGCTGGCTGACGCTTAGCAGATTGTATCCCAAGTTGGCGACGATTAGAACCTTGTTGAGTTGTAGTATGACATTTGTCTCCATGGACTGCAACTGAACCACTCCTTGTCTGTTTGTTTTCAGGTTCTCGTTATTGGCAACGGTGATGATGACATCGCGGTTGAGGCGTCGCTCTCGTTGCACGAAGCGTCCGGAAGAACACATGTGTTGGCCGCAATAGCTGTCCAAGAACCAGGTGTTTCGCCCGGTGGGTTCGCGTTGGCGACTGCAGCGTACGTCGGGTTGACCTGAAAGCTTTGTGAGCGCGGCGGCGGCAGTTCTTCTTCGTCTGGAGCGTAAGTGGGTAGTGATCCGGGTGCGCAGTTGTCGATGCGTACCATACAGTTGATGATGTTCGGTGTGCCTTGTGCAGATGTGGAGGAACGC